ACTTAAACAATATTTTCATTTCAGATGTAAATAGACATTTTAAATAAGCGTATTTAAGATGTAACGTTATATGGTTATGTAAATCCATTTTAGAAACTTACGTGTAGCCTACTTACTGGAGCTCCCCTGTTTAACTAACTAATAAAACATGTGTTTACAGCAAAATCACAACTATACTATACTGTCTAAGTCCTTTAGACCTTCAACAGTTAAAACGTTTACTCTATAGTAGTTTAACACATACGATTTAAACACAAGAAACCGTGTTTACTCACATTTGAAAACCCCTGCTGATCTCCGATGCTCCCGTGGCCTCCTGGGATAGAAGAGTATCCATCGGATGAACACTCAAAAATCGGGGCGAAAGCAGGAGATCATCCGGGAACTTCTCGCCTACTCTTTTATGAGTACTGAGGTTTCGGACATACTACTCCTTTCAAATACTGTTTCCCCCTACTATATAGTACGAAAGTAGGAATATTCGGACGTACTATAAGTATACGTATGCCCGAATCTCGCGATAATTAGTACGTCACTCTGGTAATTCTCGCCTACTCTTTTATGGATACTAAGGATTTGGACATACTTATTCGCTCGCCTACTGCTTTTTCCATACTATATAGTAGGGAAGTATGCGGTTTCGGACGCAGCCCTTGTTTGAGTGTGGCTTATATAGGCAGTCTGAAATGAGGTGCAGGTGTGCGTGTAATCAGTCACAGGGATGAGGCATTATGGGAAACGGAGTTCTGGTGAAGTGATCAGTTCTGATGTGGAGTACCCTCTGGTGATTCTCTGGGGCACTCCAACTGGTGATCGTGACAGTTATAGACCAGGCAGAACAATCCTTCCAACCACTATAGATGGATTCTCAAATAGCTTACCTGATCTATCTAAGCTGCTAAGTGAACCCAAACAAACAGATGAATTAGAGGAAATGACTAGCAGTTTGAGCACCATTTTCACTAGCACATTAGATATTGTTGCACCAATTAGATTAAAAAAGGTTAGAGAGAAAACTAAAGCACCATGGTACAACAGTGCTACGCATGCTATCAAGAGAGAAACTCGCAACTTAGAGCGTAAATGGAAACAAACTAATTGAGAGGTCTTTAGAATCGCGTGGAAAGTATGTCACGTTATAAAAAGACACTAAAAACAGCCAGGGCTGAGCATCTCCGCAAACTAATCGAAAATAACCAAAATAATCCAAGGTTTTTATTTAAAACCGTGGCTAGACTAACAAATAAACAGACATCACCGGAGCAAAATATACCGTTACAGTTTAGTAGTAATGATTTTATGAATTACTTCAATGAGAAAATAGAAAGCATCCGAAACACAATTATAAATGTACAATCCTCTATGGTGTCTTATGATTCAGCTTCAATTCTGGCCCCTCTAGAACAACTAGAGAGAGAGAGAATAAACTTAATTAGCATTATTTTATGTTTATTTCTGTTGCTGTTCCCTTCTGAAGTTATTACTTGAATTAAAATTTATAAAAAAGAAATTTTTTTTGTGCACAATGTAGGTATAATGTGTTTTGAATTATTACTAACCATCCTTTATTCTTTTCAATTATTTGAATGATCAAATATTGAGTAACACATTTTTTGGCATTGTGTTCCCTTTCTAACCAAATGCTATAGTTTGATTGTAATCATAATGCAAAACCTGATACTTATCTAAACAATTTTGTAAAAAAAAAAAAAAAATAAAGCAGTCTTTTAGAATATCTAGATGTATATCTAAATAAAAAAATAAAATAAAAAAACCCGAATAAGATAGAGAAATCATGTCTAAAACAAACAAACAAAAAAAAGGAATCAAAAAGCCTTTCTATGTATTTATATAGGAAGAGCTTACAGGCTGGTACAGGACATTGCACACATGTAACTATTTTTAAAGCCACTAGATGGCGTGCTTCTACTTGAACATTTTTTATAAGGCTGGCACTCTATTTAGATGTGAAATGTTGAAAAAATAAAATAAAATACAAATATATATATTAATTCTAATGGGAAAAATAGCTCATAAAATTATATAATTAATGCAAAGTATTATATAAAAAAAACCCCTGTAAAAGTTCTAAATAAAAATCAGAAAAATAATAAACAACAATATATTTGAATGGTTATCCTGGGGAAAAAATAAAGTAAAATTTTAAGGCTTCATCCGTTTTTGACCGGGAGGACTTCGGTTACACAAAGAAAAGAAAAAAAAAACTGGGTTGAGATGCCAGGAAAGACGTACACTTCGTGATCTATGCCACGAAGTGCTTGGCATAACTAACCTCAGCGAGCCTGTGAGCAATGAGGTCCTAACATTGCAAACCCTACTCACACACAATCAATACATAGGTTCCTAGTAGTATTTATAGTGCTAACCGTGCCTGCATTTCCCAACGACGGTAACCATTTTTAAAAATTAAAACCTGTTTTATTATATGTAACACAGGTTAAATAAAGAACATTTAATTTGCATGCAATTTAGTGATCTATCCCCTTAATAAAATTTGATAAGTGATGGAAAAAAATGAGTAATATAAAAAATAATAGACATGAATAAATATGCAAATTCATTCTCGATAAAAGCTCGGTGATCAACCAATGAGAGCTCTTTGTCATTTGAGCCATGGGTGTCGACGAGCATGCGCAATGACAGAAAGAGACGAGCTTGATTGAGAAGAGCAGACGCAATCTGATCGTCGTGATCGTTTTATAAATCTTAGATTGAAAATCTTCGAAACAAATAATTAAAAAGTTGCAGTTTGATTAATTTGATGCTTTCTGAATGAGAAGCCGATCGTATAGAGGAATACATTCTATCTGGTGAGTCAGTATCATTTACTGTAATTATGGTACGCAATATGATATCAGTGATAAAAAAATGTTTTTGTTATGTTTTTCCTGCTTAAAATTGGACACTATAACAATATCAATAAACTTTATCATTCTTTTTAAATATATTTATTCATTAAAAGTTTGTTGCCTCGAGGCAACATTGTACGACAATGGACAAATTGAAACATTTGACATTTTCATTAAGAAAAAAATTAAAGATTTATTGAAAACATCAATTTACTTAACTAAACACTTGAACAAACATATTTATCAAGTTTTTAATGAATTACACATTTCATATTTAATAAAAACATTTATTATCCAGCTGTTGCCCTCAGGCAACATTGTACCAACGTGGAACGCAAGTTCTACAAACCATCAATATCAAGTTATCATATCAAAATATTACAGTCGGTGTTGTTTCAGGGTAAAACATTATTTGTCCGATTACCCACTATAGTGGCCAAATGTCCCGTCGACCCCCACTGACCACTCCCGAGCCATACCCACGCCCGTCCCACGAACCCACAATTTTTCCGATTACCTACTATAGACCATTTCAAAAGATGTAAACAACACTGGTCCAGAAGCACTTCCTGTTTCAGTTTGTAACCGTTTTCTTTATTTCACATGTAAAGAAAAGCTCTTAAAGATGTTTGTTTAACTTTTTGATTCAGTTTTAAATGTTCTGTTGGTTGTATTTTATCCCAGCTTTTATGTAGTGTTAAAAAACTGAAACAGGAAGTGCTTCTGGACCAGTGTTGTTTACATCTTTTGAAATGGTCTATAGTGGCCAAAAGTCCTGTTGTGACTCCCCCTGACCACTCACAAGCCATGCCCCCATCCCACTCACCCACACTATTTGCCCAATTACCCACTATAGTGGCCAAATGTCCCGTCGACCGCGGCTGACAACTCACAAGCCACATGCCCTGTTCCACGAACCCACTATTTGCCCGATTACCCTCTATAGTGGCCAAATGTCCTGTTGAACCATGCTGAGATTTCATATTGTAAAAGTGCAGATACATAGATAGTTCAAACTCTTTTCCTTACAATTCAACTATACTTTATGAGATTCACAAAAAGGGTCCTGCGCATGCGCGTGCGATCGGTTGTTTGTGTTTGTAGCTCCGGTGAACTTTCTATTTTTATATCATGTGAACTTATCCTCGATACTATTCCTTATAAAAAACAATTGGATTGCTTTGATATCGCTACTTATATCCAACCTTCCGAATCCCGGCTACTAGCCTTTAGCCCGCTAGCATTCCACGCGTGGCCTCGCGCCTATTGGCCGTCTCATTTTACACCCGTTTCACTGAATCCTGGTTATTTCCGGCATTTGAGTCCTAAATTAGTAGTGATAGTTGTAGTATCACTACTAATTTACTGTTCATCTGTTATAATGGCGAACATATCAGATGCTTGTCTAACATTACCTCTGAGTGCAGGTGAAGACACATTCGAGCTCTTCACGGTGAAGCAGGAGCTGGAATACGTCGAGAAACAGATCCGTGGTCTGCTGGTGAAGCAAGCCGAGCTGTTGGATCGGCGCTCATCGCTTGAAGCATCACGCTCCGACGCTCACAAATCAGTGGTTAGTAACGTTAACTCTTTGACTCCGACTTCGTCTACTCCGTATGTTACTCTGCCCAGGAGGACGCGATCATCTCGGGCTTCATTCACTCCGGCACCGAAACAACAACATGGACCATGGATCACACAGCGGAAGACACGAGCCAGGACCAGAGCCGCCTCTCCGCCCCTCCCGGTCTTCGAGATCTCCACCCAGAATCGCTTCTCCCCTCTTCGCGAGCCGGAACGCGACGACGCCGTGATCATCGGCACATCCATGGTCCGTCATGTCCGCGCTACTTCGGATAAAGGTAAGGTGCGCACTCACTGCTTTCCTGGTGCTCGTGTTCTTGATGTCGCTGCACAGGTTCCTGAGATCCTGAACGGGGACGAGCGCGTCGGAGCTGTTGTGCTGCACGCGGGAGCGAACGACATCAGGCTGCGGCAGACGGAGGTTCTGAAGAGGGACTACAGGAGCCTGATCGAGACGGTACGCAGCACAGCGCCTAAAGCAGCGATCATCGTGTCTGGACCGCTTCCCACGTACAGACAAGGACAGGAAAGGTTCAGTAGACTATTTGCATTAAATGAATGGTTAATGTCATTGTGTAATGAACAGAAACTGCTCTTTGTAAATAATTGGCATCTGTTTTGGGAGAGACCCAGGCTGTACCGTGCAGATGGACTCCATCCCAGCCGAATCGGAGCGGCTGTGCTGTCGGACAACATCTCCAAGACGTTACGCGCCAGATGACTAGTAAGTCAAAGTCCAAATCACAGCCTTTGCGGTCCAAACTTAACTGCATAGTGTGGAACATTATATAGAAACTGTGTCTATTCCTCGTTTAGTGAAGCCAAACAATAAATCTAGTGCAGAAATCTTATTGTAATTAAACCAGAAAATCTAAATATCAGTGAACAGAAACAATTTCTAAAGCTAGGTCTTCTAAACATTAGATCGCTCACACCTAAGGCGGTAATTGTAAATGAAATGGTCACAGGTAATAACTTCGATGTTCTGTGCCTTACTGAAACCTGGCTTAAACCAAATGAGTATTTCGGTCTCAACCAATCTACTCCGCCAGGATACTGTTATAAACATGAGCCTCGCCTGATCGGTCGTGACAGCGGTGTTGCAACAATCAATAAAGATATTTTTAATATTACTCAGAAAACAGGTCACAGGTTTAATTCATTTGAAGTACTTGTGCTAAATGTTACGCTCTTAGATGTAAGAAGGAAATCCATATTATCTCTAGCCTTGGCTACTGTATATAGACCTCCAGGCCCATATGCTGAATTCCTAAAAGAGTTCGCAGACTTTCTCTCGGATCTATTGGTGAATGACGATAAAGCAATAATTGCTGGAGATTTTAACATACACGTAGATAATACAAATGATGCTTTAGGGGCTGCGTTTACAGACTTATTGAACTCATTTGGGGTCAAACAAAACGTCAGTGGTCCCACTCATCGTCTAAATCATACACTAGATTTAATTATATCATATGGAACCATTCCAACTGATATAGATATTATACCGCAAAGCGATGATGTCACTGATCATTGCATGGTGACTTGCATAATACGTACTGCTGAAATATGTCATGTTGCGCCACGTTATTGTCACAATCACCAGTTGGAGTGCCCCAGAGAATCACCAGAGGGCACTCCACATCAGAACTGATCACTTCACCAGAACTCCGTTTCCCATAATGCCTCATCCCTGTGACTGATTACACGCACAACTGCACCTCATTTCAGACTGCCTATATAAGCCTCACTCAAACAAGGACTCTTTGAGAAGTATTGCATTGCCACGGCTTGTAATTTCTGAGCGTGTATTCTGTCACAGGGATGAGGCATTATGGGAAACGGAGTTCTGGTGAAGTGATCAGTTCTGATGTGGAGTGCCCTCTGGTGATTCTCTGGGGCACTCCAACTGGTGATCGTGACAGTTATAGACCAGGCAGAACAATCCTTCCAACCACTATAGATGGATTCTCAAATAGCTTACCTGATCTATCTAAGCTGCTAAGTGAACCCAAACAAACAGATGAATTAGAGGAAATGACTAGCAGTTTGAGCACCATTTTCACTAGCACATTAGATATTGTTGCACCAATTAGATTAAAAAAGGTTAGAGAGAAAACTAAAGCACCATGGTACAACAGTGCTACGCATGCTATCAAGAGAGAAACTCGCAACTTAGAGCGTAAATGGAAACAAACTAATTGAGAGGTCTTTAGAATCGCGTGGAAAGACAGTACTATGTCACGTTATAAAAAGACACTAAAAACAGCCAGGGCTGAGCATCTCCGCAAACTAATCGAAAATAACCAAAACAATCTAAGGTTTTTATTTAACACCGTGGCTAGACTAACAAATAAACAGACATCACCGGAGCAAAATATACCGTCACAGTTTAGTAGTAATGATTTTATGAATTACTTCAATGAGAAAATAGAAAGCATCCGAAACACAATTATAAATGTACAATCCTCTATGGTGTCTTATGATTCAGCTTCAATTCTAGCCCCTCTAGAACAACTACACCGCTTTACAACGATAGGACAGGAGGAGCTAAATAAACTTATCATTGCATCTAAACCAACAACATGTTTATTAGATCCAATAACCACTAAACTACTGAAAGAACTATTACCTGTAGTGGAAGAGCCTCTCCTCAATATTATTAACTCGTCTTTATCTTTAGGTCATGTCCCAAAAATATTCAAGCTGGCAGTAATAAAACCTCTCATTAAGAAACCGCAATTAGATACAAATAACTTGTCAAATTACAGACCCATTTCAAATCTTCCATTTATGTCCAAAATACTAGAAAAAGTAGTGTCCGCTCAATTGTGCTCTTTTTTGCAAGAAAATGATATCTATGAAAAATTCCAGTCAGGATTCAGACCGCATCATAGTACAGAAACTGCGCTGGTTAAAATTACAAATGATTTACTTTTAGCTTCTGACCAAGGCTGTATCTCAATACTTGTCCTACTTGATCTTAGCGCTGCGTTCGACACTATAGATCATAAAATACTCTTGGATCGACTACAAAACTTCACTGGTGTCCAGGGACAGGCATTAAGCTGGTTTAGATCGTACTTATCGGACCGTTATCATTTTGTCTGTTTAAATGGGAAAAAATCAAAGATAACGTCAGTAGACTATGGAGTACCGCAAGGATCGGTTTTAGGCCCTCTGCTGTTCTCAGTATATATGCTGCCACTTGGTAATATTATAAGAAAACATGGAATTAATTTCCACTGTTACGCTGACGACACTCAATTATATATTTCATCACGACCAGATGAAAACACCAACTCATCTAAAATGACAGAGTGTCTCAAAGATATAAAACGCTGGATGACACATAATTTTCTGCTATTAAATTCAGATAAAACGGAGGTATTACTTATTGGTCCAAAAAACTACTCACAAAACCTCTTACAATACAACTTTAATATAGACGGATGTCCTGTTACTTTATCCACTACAGTAAAAGAACTGGGTGTTATACTAGACCGTTTTATACATAAACAATATTTATATTTAATATTTATATATAAACAATATGAATGTAAGCCAGAGGAGAACTGGCCCCTGACTGAGCCTGGGTTCTCCCAAGGTTTTTTCTCCATCCAATCTGATGGAGTTTTGGTTCCTTGCCACTGTCGCCTTGCTTTTGGCTTGCTTTTGGCTTGCTTAGTCGGGGTTACTTAATATTTAACAATATTATTGATCTGTGTTGTACTACTTTCATGTTATCACTGTGAAGCTGCTTTGAGACAATCTGTATTGTGAAAAGCGCTATATAAATAAATGTGACTTGACTTGACTTGACTTATGACACTGATAGGTTATGATGTATTGGTTAATGTCATGTTGTCATAACAAGGACATCTCAAACAATGTCATATTTGCATTAGAAATGTCCTTATTGAGCGAATGACACTTAATGACAGTTGTCATAAACATGTATAAACCCTCCTTCATATTCATGATTATGAAGGTGTCATATCAGTCTTATGCACACCCCGTCAAGTGTTATTGTGTGAAATGTTCCTCACTCTTTCTCTCTAATTTTACAGTTTGTATCTCCCCTGCAAAGAACATGAATAAAAATAAATATGACACACGTCATGGAAAATGACAGTAAATTAGTTTGCCATTCCTGTTTAGTTGAAATGCATGTATTGTGTATGACATGTCTTAATGTTTACAGATTGAAAGATGTCCGATGCAGTCTCGCGGCCAGACGACCTTGCTCAGAGAGGTCCCAAAGTGTATGTGTGGTTTTCACACTCAAAAGGTAACAATGTGAAGATGTTGCAAGTATCAAAACATAATAAAATAACTTACTGAATAAATGTTTCTCATTCAAAAGTGATTGAAGCTGATGTATTTTTTGGTTGTCTTAAGCAGGCCACAGTCTCTACTGGTCAAGCACCAAGGGTTGTGGAGCAACAACAGTCTGCCGCTACTGGACCAGCACAGGAGGTGATGGAGCAGAGTCAGCCTCAGCCTCGACTCCAGCCCCAGCCACGGCCCACTGCATCTGTGACATCAAGGAAAATACCAAGTTTGTCAATCATGGTAATAACATTTTTATTAATACATGTATTATTAATTCAGTCATCATGCATCTACTTTCAAGTATAACCATAAATGCTGTTAATAAACACTGTATCTTACAAGCTATGTGCCAACTAGTTTTGAATCAATGTCATTTTTAAAAGGTACCTGTTGAATTACAATAATACTCACATTCTAGCAATGCCTTCCCAATCATTTTTCTATTCTTAACTGTGCTTACTTCAATCTATATAAGTAGCAGAGGGTGTAAATTGAAACAACAGATATTTTCTCATTTACCAAAAATGCAATTATTGTTTGCCACTGTGCTGTTACAGCTTATTTAGTCATTGAGTTGAAATTGTTTTGTCCTATTTTAGTTTACCAAGCCAAGATTTGGTGGGTCCCACATTTCTGCTGCAAAGCCAAATCTAAGTGTGGCTAGGAGACCATCTCAGGTTGACCCACCCAGCGCAGCGGTGTCCAGTGCCCCTACACCGAGCACCATGCACTGTCTCTGTAAGTACTGGCATAATCCACATTGCATTCTATGAATACACACTCCACTCCTGTGCACTTTCCTCTGCACACATATTTTGTATTCAAGGAAATCTTAACATAATGACGTAATAACAGTACTATATACTCTTAGGGTTAGGGTTAGTAGTAAATAGGGTTTATAAAAACATAAAATAAACTTACTGACCCCAGACTTTTGAACAGCATTGTATAATTCCATCCAGGATGAATTACAATTATTGGACAGGTATGTTTGACTGTTTCTCTTGTTATACAAACAAAATCTATTATATTTCGCTGCATGATTTTACAGACACAAGATCCTGGAGTTCCAGCCTCTGTCCCCAGAACCACTGCAGATGTGACTAGTCCTGAGTCTTGCGGTATTGTCTCGGTAAGCAATTTCAAATTCTATTGGTCTAAAATAATTTATTTTTCATATTAACTTTCACAACTCACTAGAGTTGCACAAAATAGCGCTCGCAGCTGACACAATTCTAAAAACATTTGGAACAAATGTAAATCCTAAGTACGTATTTGACATCCAATATTTTCTATTTAATGTGAGGGTAGTCTTGGATAGATAAAGCGCTAATTAAATAAATGACCTGTTAGACTAAATGTTTTTTTTCTTTTTCCTTCACAGACTGCTCCTTCCGGGGCATCATTGCAAGCTCCATCTGCAGTTCGACTGCATCGTTTGTGGCCGGAGACCTTGCCGCCAGAGGATCACAGGTGGATTGCCAGCAGGCTTTTCAAAACGGGGTCCAAGGGAAAACCAGAGCTTCGAGACGACCTACAGCTCTGGTATTACCCACCACGGCCAGCACTTATCTACAACCAGGCTCCAGCTCCAGACAGATTTTTTAGTCATGCTCTGTTGCTGTGGATGCCGTACAAGCTTTGGAAGATAAAGACTGTCTGTCCCAATTCTGCCTGCGGTCAGCATCAGCTGACTGGAGGCGGTCTGCACAAAAGGGCACGGCAGGTTCTGGACATCGATAGGATGTACAACATGGTCACAGAAACCCTCATCTGTACCAAGCCTCGCATGTGTCCTGGAGTCAGACCATCCTGCAACAGCTGGATCTGGGCCATCGCTCTGAATTTCGGGTCATCCTCACGCGGAAGTAAGTACACTTTAATTCCACATCCAGTTGATAGACCATCACCACATATGTTTGCAAATACTTTACAAATCAAATATGTAAAATATGAATGTGTGTATTTTGCTCTTCCTAAGGTATGCCTGTGACATGAGAGTCATTCGGCTCCTCTCTGAGCGTGGCTAGGCAACAGTCCCACGCGGGTCATTAAACAGCTGCGTGAGAACCACAGCGAGGAGTGGCTCCAACGTATGGCCCGCGTGGTACACCACCCAATGCGTGGACTTCCTCAAACGTCCCGGGGTGTTGCAAATAAAGTTCCAGGAACCCCCAGAGCCTACAGTGGTGCCAAGCTGCAAGTGGCTGCTCACCGTTTACAGCCAAGACATCCTGACAAGGCTGGATCATGAAATCCATGCAAGGATAACATGTGGATGTGGATATGGTTCAGTCTTGAAGATGGATTCCACTTAAAAGGTTAGCTGGGGATTTTTGTTCTTCTATGGCGTTTACTGTTATATCATTATCAGGGCATGAGTATCATATTCTACATGGTGTGATGTTTCATAACATTGCATGCTTCCTGTAATCGACTGCAGATCACCAAGAAGCTGGCTGGGACGGCAAGGGGAACGGGACTCTGGCTTACCTCTGTTGGCAATGAGTTTGGTCAGGTGCTCATGAGTGTGCTGACTGCACAGGAAGGAGCAGGACTGGACAAGATGGTTGATGGTCTGGTGAAAAGGTACCAGCAGGCTGGTGTGGATCCACCTACTGTTTTGTACGTGGACTGTGGCTGCTGCACTGATGTGGGTGAGACCAAGCTAAAAACCAGATTCAGAGGTTGGCCTGATCTCATGATTCGCTTGGACATCTGGCATTATATGCGCAGGATCGCCATGGGGTGTACAACTGATGCCCATCAGCTGTATCCCATCTTCATGTCACGGCTGTCAGCGTGCATTTTTGAGTGGGATGCGGCTGATATTTCTATGCTTCGCAAAGCAAAGAGAGAGCAGTTGTTATCCCAGGGCTGGCCTGCGCTGACAGATGAAGATGTCAACAAGCATCTCACCAGGGAGGAGCTAGCACTGCATTGCCGGAGGAGGACCTGTGGAGAGGAGACTACCATCCTTCTCCTTGAGCGGCTGCTTACAGAGCTCCTGAGCAGTGAGGGCAAAGACTCCCTGGGTGTTCCTCTCCTGGGCCGAGAAAGGATGGAGCACATCTGGAATGTCCAGAAGAAGCATGTGAAATGCATTCAAGACCCCCCTGGTGTTGTGCTCTACACAGAGACAGGGACCCTAAACAAGGGAGGCGTGCTTCTGAAGACATACAGATGTGCCAGAGGCTCCACTTCTCTCGAGTCCTTTCATTTACACCTGAACCGTTTCATCCCAGGTATTGTCTTTTCCACACACACTGTGCATGTGTAAAGAAAGAGCATGAAGTGTTTTTTCGTGTTGCTTTAACACCCCTAAAACACTGTTGTGTCTATTTACAGGGGCCAGTGCAAACAGTCTGAATTTTCAGATTTATCTGCTGGAGGGTGTACACCGGTGGAACCAGGACCGGGAGGCTGCTTCCCTGTCATCGGAGCCATCAGCTTTGCGCAGCTACACAGGAGAACTTGTTCACTGTGTAAACGGCAATTACGGAAAGCTGTTTGGCAGGAAAGTGGTTTTGTCCCCCTGCATGTTACACTGGTGAGAATTATTTTATTTATTTTTTATTTCATCAACTTGCAATTTCTGTGTAACCCTATAGAGTTGATTGTGTCATAATTAATATGCACGTTTCTAAAGGCCTCTAAATTTTTCCAACATGAGGAAACATGCCCTCTGTCGACTGATTGATTATAGTCTTTTTGTATAATTGTAAAAGTGTCCCCCTTCAGCTCTAGGGCTGGGTATCGATTCACACGTTCAACTCGATTTGATTTCGATTCGTAAGCTCTCAGTTCGATTCGATTCTCGATTCGATTTCGATTACTGATTAGATTCTCGATTAAACTATAATGATTATCGATGTAATACAAATTCTATATTTATAAAAAAAAAAGAACAGGACATAAATTTACTAGTGGTTTATTAATAGAAAGAAATTAAGAGCCACAAACCTGTATATAAAACTCTTTTTATTTTAGGTACACTATACACTAAATGCATACAATGAATAGACAGGATTTTGATGCAAGATGCAAAATTGATGCTGGAAATTGGACAAGTCAGAACAGTAGCACAGCTTGATCAAACAGGATCCGGTTATTTTATGTTTAAGATAGATATAGATAAATAAATATATACATATTTAGACATTTTTTAACATTGATCTTACCTAAATGTTTGTTTTTACAATGGGGTAATTTTTTGTTAAGAGTTTATGCAACACATGGAAGCTTGATTTCAATCTTTGAATTAAATTGAAAAATAAATACAATAGAATAAAGACACAAATAAAGAGACATTTTGGGTATGTCAGAAATACAAACTGAATAAAGTAAATCCAATGTAAAATAACACTGGGTAGTCTTTTTAGTCCAGACTGAATTAAATACATAGGCTATTAATTCTGATTGCTTACAATTAATGCTATATTATGTTGTTATGAAAACAGAATTAATGACAGACACATAATGGCTGCGTTCACTTTAAGAAATACTGGTAGTACACGGATCCATTACTGTCTCATTATAGTAGCCTACTGTCTGTCTGTCAGACGCGTTTAATGCTAATTTAAGACATAACCGACTGTCTTTACAAGGTTACTCACCAAGACCAGAGTTTTGACATAATTTCGCGTGTTTTTACCTATTAAAGCGATATAATCCAGGGATAAAACTTTTGTTTCTGGCGATCTGTTTTGTAAGGCGGATTTAGGCTGTGCTGTATGTGTACGCAGTGAAAGACATATCTGAGAGTGCGCGAGCACGGGATGGTTTAACATTGCTTGAATGTTTAAACTGGTAAACTAAAAAAGACGTGAAAATTATAAACGTCAGTTACGATCATAGGTTACGATCAGTGTTGGGTGTAACTAATTACTAAGTAATTAGTTACTGTAATTTAATTACTTTTCCCTTGAAAATGTAAAGTAAGGGATTACTCTTCATTTATCTGTAATTTAATTACAGTTACTTCTGATGTAATTGAGCTAAATACTGTGTATAGATCAATCTGATCTCACAGCGATTCGTATGCATTTTATGAGTTGTCTAAATTGTATGACCGCACTCGTACAAATTCGTATGAATTATTGTAAAATATGTATGAAAAAAGTGTGAAATGTCATGAGGTCAGACATAAAACAATAGTGGGTTTAACATCAAAAATGTATTGTCTGATGTTAAAAATTATGTTTTTATAATGTAACCTTCTCCACCTTGGTCTTTTTAGGGATAATTCGTGCAGTTTAATAGTATTTATTTGAAAAAATTAAAACAGATTTATGTCTATCCTTGTATTATTCAGCTGGTTGAGATTGATATGGGATTTTGAAAGTAATTAGTAATTAAAAGTAATTAAATACTTTTTAGAGAGAGTAATTAGTACAGTAATCTAATTACATTGTTGAAGAGGTAATTAGTAACTAGTAATTAATTACTTTTTTAGAGTAACTTACCCAACACTGGTTACGATGCAATGCTGGCCCGATTGTGCAAGTGAATATTCCGTCATGTCCCGACTCCTAAACGCGAGTGTGTGACGCCTGCAGCGCGCTTGCCGCGGCTAGTGCAGAGGGAGAAGACGCAGCACTGTGAGCCCTTAATATGGAAAAAATCGATTCGTGGCCGTTGAGAATCGATTTTGAATCGACCACATTTTTAAAAACGATTAATCGAAAAATCAATTTTTTTTGTTTCTTTTCACTGTGAAACCTTTACTGATATTTATAAAGTAATTGTAAGAATAACTTTTATATTGTTAGTAATATCCCAGATAGCAAACTGACATTGAATCAACGTGGAAATATGACATCGAAACAACGTTGATCTGACATTGTTTTGCTCATCGAATTAACGTTGAACCAACGTCAGATGCGTCATTCTTTCAAAACTAACGGAAAATCAACTTGAAATCAAAGCGTTGTTTCAACGTTATGAAAGCAAACCAATTTTCGATTTCATTTAGTTTTGAAGAATGTTCAAAGCTTGAACCGTCTGACGTTGGTTCAACGTTAATTCGATGAGCAAATCAACGTTGTTTCAATGTCATGAGAGACGTCGTTTCCACGTTGATTCAATGTCAGTTTGCTGTCTAACTAATTACTAGACAGAAGCAGCTTGGGTTGTTCACTTGATTAGAAAATCATGTTACATGTAAATATCAAAATGATCATCAGACTTTTCTATCAGTCATCATTGTATTGCAGTTCATATCATGTTTTGCTCCATAATTAAACATGTTGGGCCTCTGAATAAAACTGTTTTGTTCTCCTTGACGATGAGCTCTATATTCTCACAGTATATGAGCTGCTACAAAAGTGTATCAAATCTGATACACAACATTCTATTTCATTTCTTTTTGTTTTTTGTCTTTATTTCAGGTGAGCTCATTGGGGTGCAGTATCTGTTCCAGCAGACTGGTCAGGCACTGCAGGACATGAATCCAGACTCTGAGCAGACAGCAGAGCTCACTGAGGACCTCAGTGTGGAGGAGCGAGATGAAGATGAGGGCTACTGTGACATCAGCGAGGATCACACAATAGCAGATCCGGAGGCTGTACTGTCACCACCCTCTTCCACACTGACACTGGGTTCTTCCACCCTGGTCGCCAGCAGTGCCACACATGTACTGGGCAGGGCTCCACATCCCCTTTACTGGTCCCTGACCCCAAACTTCACACAGTCTCCTTCATCACCTGGACCCTCAGGAACTGCCGTCACACCTGTTCTCTCTGAAACATCTGTTTCAACTCTCCCCTCAGATCCAGAGGATGCTGGGCAGGATGATGATGATGATGATGAAGAGATGGTGCCAATGGTCCAGGGTGTGCCAATGGTCCAGGGTCTGCTAATGATCCAGGGCATCCCAATGGTCCAGGCCAGGGGATGCAAATGACACAGCCACTGTTACAGCCAACAGCTGTACAGGGCACCCGCTTACCCGCTGCACCAGCTGTCAATCCCGACGCCATGCCCAAGAGACCCTACAGGAGAACCGTAGAGGCCAACACTTGTAAAAAAAAATTTTGTTTTTAACGTTATTTAACATTAACTATTTATTACTTGTTTTTGAAAACCTATTTCAGTTTTCATTTTATTTATTTATTTATTTATTTTAAAAATATTTTATTTAACATTTTAATATTCATTACTGTTGGCATGATTGGAAAATAAAAACGAATTGGCAAGTGATTTCTTTTTGACTTTGTCTTTCATTTGTTAATCAGAACACTGCAACAATAAAACATTTGCATATAAAATATAATTTGTACATTTTGTTATTCTTGTGATTGACATTTTCAGCAAATTAGTTACTATTTAATGGGTTGTATGTTTATTCATTAGAAATAAAAGATTTGCAAGTGTCTTGTTTGAATGTAACCTAAAAAACATAAGATCAATAATAATACAACAACTAAATAATAACACTATTCCATTGGCAATTATACATTTTTATGAAATAATATAAAAAAAACACAACAAACAAATAAAATGTGTATATTTTATTAACAATACTTTATTATAACATAACAGTATTTTATCAGTACACTGCAACAAGATAACAATAGAGTTTAAAAAGATCATTTGTACATTTTGTTGTTCTTCATTCATTTTTTAGCATATTAGTTACCATTTAATGGGTTGCATCTTTGTTCATTGCATAATAATGCAAATAACATTCGTTTTAATTAAAGAATATAAATAAACAAATGACATATGTATATTTTATTAACACTGGAACAGTATGCATTCAAAAACTATTCTTATTTAATTAACTAATAAATATTACAAAAAGTTGTCTTTAGCTGGATTCGAACCCCTGTCTTGGTGAAGACCTGCAATAGAAAACAGTGTAATATAAATGCGTGATTTTCTTGAAATGCATTTTTTCTTTCTCTTCTTCCCCTTCTCTTTTTCTTCCTTCCCCCTTTTCTTCCCTTCTTCCCCACCTTTGTTGGACTATTGTTCCCCAGATTTTGTGGCTCATTTTGTGGCTCATTTTTCGTATCAACACCACAAATTAAACTAAGAATTGTACATCTTTACAGTGAATTCGACCTAACGTTGCTAGTAGGTCTAATAATGAAATGAAGGCAAATAATATATATATATATATATATATTAGTAACCATCCCTTATTTTGTTCAATTATTTGAATGATCAAATATTGAGTAACACATTTTTTGGCATTGTGTTCCCTTTCTAACCAAATGCTATAGTTTGATTGTAATCATAATGCAAAACCTGATACTTATCTACTTATCTAAACAATTTTGTAAAAAAATAAAAATAAAGCAGTCTTTTAGAATATCTAGATGTATATCTAAATTAAAAAATAAAATAAAAAACCCAGAATAAGATAGAGAAATCATGTCTAAAACAAACAAACAAAAAAAGGAATCAAAAAGCCTTTCTATGTATATAGGAAGAGCTTACAGGCTGGTACAGGACATTGCACACATGTAACTATTTTTAAAGCCACTAGATGGCGTGCTTCTACTTGAACATTTTTTTTTATAAGGCTGGCACTCTATTTAGATGTAAAATGTTGAAAAAAAAAATACAAATATATATATATTAATTCTAAAGGGAAAAATAGCTCATAAAATTATATAATTAATGCAAAGTATCATATAAAAAAAAACCTGTAAAAGTTCTAAATAAAAATCAGAAAAATAATAATCAACAATATATTTGAATGGTTATCCTGGGGAAAAAATACAGTGAAATTTTAAGGCTTCATCCGTTTTTGACCGGGAGGACTAAGTGACTTCTTCGGTTACACAAAGAAAAGAAAAAAAAACTGGGTTGAGATGCCAGGAAAGACGTACACTTCGTGATCTATGCCACGAAGTGCTTGGCACAACTAACCTCAGCGAGCCTGTGAGCCTACGTGCAATGAGGTCCTAACATTGCAAACCCTACTCACACACAATCAATACATAGGTTCCTAGTAGTATTTATAGTGCTAACCGTGCCTGCATTTCCCAACGACGGTAACCATTTTTAAAAATTAAAACCTGTTTTACCATATGTAACACAGGTTAAATAAAGAACATTTAATTTACATGCAATTTAGTGATCTATCCCCTTAATAAAATTTGATAAGTGATGGAAAAAAATGAGTAATATAAAAAATAATATACATGAATAAATATGCAAATTAATTCTCGATAAAAGCTCGGTGATCAACCAATGAGAGCTCTTTGTTATTTGAGCCATGGATGTCGACGAGCATGCGCAATGACAGAAAGAGACGACTGATTGAGAAGAGCAGACGCAATCTGATCGTCGTGATCGTTTTATAAATCTTAGATTGAAAATCTTCGAAACAAATAATTAAAAAGTTGCAGTTTGATTAATTTGATGCTTTCTGAATGAGAAGCCGATCGTATAGAGGAATACATTCTATCTGGTGAGTCAGTATCATTTACTGTAATTATGGTACGCAATATGATATCACTGATAAAAAAATGTTTTTGTTATGTTTTTCCTGCTTAAAATTGGACACTATAACAATATCAATAAACTTTATCATTCTTTTTAAATGTATTTATTCATTAAAAGTTTGTTGCCTCAAGGCAACATTGTACCACAATGGACAAATTGAAACATTTGACATTTTCATGAAGAAAAAAATTAAAGATTTATTGAAAACATCAATTTACTTAACTAAACACTTGAAAAAACATATTTATCAAGTTTTTAACGAATTACACATTTTATATTTAATAAAAATTAACATTTATTATCCAGCTGTTGCCCTCAGGCAACATTGTACCATCGTGGAACGCAAGTTCTACAAACCATCATATCAAGTTATCATATATCAAAATATTACAGTCGGTGTTGTTTCAGGGTAAAAGATTATTTGTCCGATTACCCACTATAGTGGCCAAATGTCCCGTCGACCCCCGCTGACCACTCCCGAGCCACACCCACGCCCGTCCCACAAACCCACAATTTTTCCGATTACCTACTATAGTGGCTAAAAGTCCTGTTGTGACTCCCCCTGACCACTCACAAGCCACGCCCCCATCCCACTCACCCACTATTTGCCCAATTACCCACTATAGTGGCCAAATGTCCCGTCGACCGCGGCTGACAACTCACAAACCACATGCCCTGTTCCACGAACCCACTATTTGCCAGATTACCCTCTATAGTGGCCAAATGTCCTGTTGAACCATGCTGAGATTTCATATTGTAAAAGTGCAGATACATAGATAGTTCAAACTCTTTTCCTTACAATTCAACTATACTTTATCAGATTCACAAAAAGGGTCATGCGCGTGCGATCGGTTGTTTGTGTTTGTAGCTCCGGAGAACTTTCTATTTTTATATCATGTGAACTTATCCTCGATACTATTCCTTATAAAAAACAATTGGATTGCTTTGATATCGCTACTTATATCCAACCTTCCGAATCCCGGCTACTAGCCTTTAGCCCGCTAGCATTCCACGCGTGGCCTCGCGCCTATTGGCCGTCTCATTTTACACCCGTTTCACTGAATCCTGGTTATTTCCGGCATTTCAGTCCTAAATTAGTAGTGATAGTTGTAGTATCACTACTAATTTACTGTTCATCTGTTATAATGGCGAACATATCAGATGCTTGTCTAACATTACCTCTGAGTGCAGGTGAAGACACATTCGAGCTCTTCACGGTGAAGCAGGAGCTGGAATACGTCGAGAAACAGATCCGTGGTCTGCTGGTGAAGCAAGCCGAGCTGTTGGATCGGCGCTCATCGCTTGAAGCATCACGCTCCGACGCTCACTAATCAGTGGTTAGTAACGTTAACTCTTTGACTCCGACTTCGTCTACTCCGTATGTTACTCTGCCCAGGAGGACGCGATCATCTCGGCTTCATTCACTCCGGCACCGAAACAACAACATGGACCATGGATCACACAGCGGAAGACACGAGCCAGGACCAGAGCCGCCTCTCCGCCCCTCCCGGTCTTCGAGATCTCCACCCGGAATCGCTTCTCCCCTCTTCGCGAGCCGGAACGCGACGACGCCGTGATCATCGGCACATCCATGGTCCGTCATGTCCGCGCTACTTCGGATAAAGGTAAGGTGCGCACTCTCTGCTTTCCTGGTGCTCGTGTTCTTGATGTCGCTGCACAGGTTCCTGAGATCCTGAACGGGGACGAGCGCGTCGGAGCTGTTGTGCTGCACGCGGAGCGAACGACATCAGGCTGCGGCAGACGGAGGTTCTGAAGAGGGACTACAGGAGCCTGATCGAGACGGTACGCAGCACAGCGCCTAAAGCAGCGATCATCGTGTCTGGACCGCTTCCCACGTACAGACAAGGACAGGAAAGGTTCAGTAGACTATTTGCATTAAATGAATGGTTAATGTCATTGTGTAATGAACAGAAACTGCTCTTTGTAAATAATTGGCATCTGTTTTGGGAGAGACCCAGGCTGTACCGTGCAGATGGACTCCATCCCAGCCGAATCGGAGCGGCTGTGCTGTCGGACAACATCTCCAAGACGTTACGCGCCAGATGACTAGTAAGTGAAAGTCCAAATCACAGCCTTTGCGGTCCAAACTTAACTAATATGCATAGTGTGGAACATTATATAGAAACTGTGTCTATTCCTCGTTTAGTGAAGCCAAACAATAAATCTAGTGCAGGATCTAGCAAAAATCTTATTGTAATTAAACCAGAAAATCTAAATATCAGTGAACACAAACAATTTCTAAAGCTTGGTCTTCTAAACATTAGATCGCTCACACCTAAGGCGGTAATTGTAAATGAAATGGTCACAGATAATAACTTCGATGTTCTGTGCCTTACTGAAACCTGGCTTAAACCAAATGAGTATTTTATTTAGGAACCGTCCGTAGCTTTTCGCACGAGTTCAAATTTTTTGAACGCATCCGGA